CTCCTCCCCTGCGCACCACATCATCCTTTGGCAGTTTCTTGGGTTGCTATGACAGCTATGATTTACCCGTAGTGCTCGTGAGAGAGCAGAGCAATGCACACGTGCACCGAGCTACCATGGAGACAGGGCCACATGGCTACTCCAGGAGTCAGAAGAAGCTCCTTTTATACTCTCAGCCATTCATAACTCATATAAAGAGATTATGCACTGTCTAGAGCAGGGATTATGTGTCTCAAACCAGCTAAATATGCTGAGGCATGGAATATTAGATGTTTTCTTTTTGTTGTTCATTTTTGAACTGTGAAAACAAATTGACAATTTATAATTATATTTTTCCCCAGTACTGGATTGCATCTGCAAAGGCATCCACTGCGTAAAACATATGCTGGAATAGTTGGTGGTTCATTTCAATGTGGCAACCTTTGATAAATCAGACAGTATGAAGATGAATAAATGACTATTTATAACAAATGATTAACAACAACATTCTTCTGGGTTGCAGCTGGAAGGGCATCCGCTGCATAAAACATATGTCGGAACAGTTGGTGCTTCTTTCCGTTGTGGCTATTATAACCATGTCAATTTTCAATAAATATAACATTAAATTCAGCAACTGTAAGTTTATAATTACTAGCCGTTATTTAATTATTATTAACTTATTCATTAATTATTTTTAATAATAATATTTTTTATTATATTAGACATATGATCTAACTTTGTAATACAAATGTACATTTTAAAAAATCTAAATAGTACAATGGAACATACTGGTTAATAATCTCTGGTTAATAATCTCATAATTTTTTAAGGGAAAATGAAACCACAATGATAGAAAAAAGCAGAAAATTAAACAATCATTAGAAATAATTTTTCTAATGATTTGAACTTTTTATTGATTGTCAAATTCGCAAATTATGCAAATGAAAATGTAAAATGCAGAACACTAACATGAAAGCAGAACAATACAAAATAAATTAATACAATAAATAAATAACATAATAAACTAAGTGAATAAACCAAAACACATAAAAAAGGGTGTTGCCAATATCTTAATTATTTTTATGTCTCGTTACATGTTTGCTAGCATTGTGGGTCACAGAAATTCAGAAATGTACACCATTTATCCAAATAAATGTCAATCCTTCCATGTAAACTGTGGGAAAGTTTTTCAAAAGGTGCCACCATAACATTAAAACACTATTGAAAACTCCTGGTCTACACATGTTATTCCTATCCTCTAACTTAAAATTTGTCTATAGTCCATATACACTGTAAAAATTATATGAGCAAGTTATCATGACATGTTTTTACTTAATTGTAACCTAAGAAACTAAGTTAATCATGTTCTAACTTTATTTCATAAGGTGCGCCATCTGTTTTTACTCAGTTTATATAATATCTGTTCAAATGACTCATACGGTTAATTAGATTCATCTTAAAAATTTAAGGCAACCATTATTTTTTACAGTGTACTATTCTTTGAGACGTGGAAAAAACAACACAGTGAAAATTCCATTTAGCACCTGGGCACATTAGTAAAGCGACTAGACTAAATTAAGTTCTATGACACTCCACAGTTTGAGTTCAGACAGTGTAAATGAATTGTGTTCAGTCACAAATGAGCTCAAAGCCACGCAGGGGGGAAGGGTGCATGTGTCATATGATAACATTAACACTTCAGAACCTTCCTTTCTGTGCTTGACTAAAGCAACGATGGCAGAGCACTATGCAAATGTAGGAGTCTCATGGACAAGCTTGTGTTAAATCATGCAAATATTGTACATACGAGATCCGGAGGAAACGAAAACACTGCATGTTTTAAAATGCAAAACCTTTACTTCAAATTCACACATGGAGATGCATGGGGTTTATATTTTTACACAAAAAGTACATGTGCTGGTAAAATAAAGTGTAACAATGTAATATGGTGATATATAATATATTTATATAATATATAAAATTTTTGATTGGTTGATTAACAGATGTTTATTCCATGTCAAAGATAACATCTCTAACAAGTGAACCCTACCAGAAGAAGCAAACCACTTGGAGGTTTTTCTTTGTCATTAACCATGTTAACTAATTAACTAGGGGGCTTTCTTAATCTCATGAGTCAATAAAGAACTGACCCTCATGCCCCCATCAAATCAGACAGGTTCTTAAAGTCTCCTGTATGGAAATGATAATTAATCACAACAATAATTAACTCTTTACACCCAGCAATAAAAGACCCGAGATCAATTTGCCAGGACATTATCGGTTAAAATATAAATTACAGGATGGCAGTTTGGTGACTAAGGAAAGAGGACAAATGAAACTGGATGATGGATCCATGACAAGCAAATAAAGCACTCTTATAATTAATCAACACAGTGTAATTAATGCAATTATATCTAATACACATTTATTGGATGTGCGTTGTGTTTATAATTGATTGTTAAATCTAAGCTATGTATTTTCTTATAATTAATATAATATATATAATAATATAACGCAGGGGTATTCTTACAATACTATATCAGCTTAAGTATCACAATACCAAATAGTGTTGCTATACTGTAGTTTATAACTAAAATCATAAAGAAAATAGTCAGAAATACTATATCTTACATGTTATAATAGGTCTTAAATTTCATTAAAATTCCCTTATTACTGAAAAAAAGTATTATTTGCATGTGACTTCACCTAAAATTTATTCATTTATTTTGTAGATAACTGACCAACAAAAAACACATTAAAATAAAGATACAAATAATATTAAATGAAATTATGCACAAAAAGAGCATTTTTCCAACAAACTTAGGCTATATAAAGTGGTCAATAATTGTTTCAATGTTTTCTGTTGCTATTTTGGGTTTTTCATCTATTGTTTTTTTTTTTTTCAGTATTATCAGTTAACAATCCAAAGTTATTCAAAATCTATTTTTGTGTGTCTTTCTTTTTAAGAGATTGTCGTGGTTTTGTAGCTACTAAATCATATTCAGTGGAACAGAAATGAACCGATTCAGATGTGCATTTCAAACATTAGAAAACATCAAAAAACTTGCAACCTTAAAGGGCTTCACAGACTACTAAAATAAAATGGTCTATTGTTGTACAAATGTGTGAGGATTTAGTGACTTTTCCACAACACTATCTGCTGAAGATAGACCATTAATGACAATACTACCTTTTGCAGTGTTACTAACACTGCCAGTATTTTGAAGCCATATTGCAATACTATCATAGAACTGGTAAACTGTGCAACCCTATGTAGGGGAGCCCAAACGTTTTCGCATAAAGGACCAAAAGCCAGATATCATAATTGAGAACCATGGGCTGAAGTAAATTTACCACACATTAAAGTTGCTATGGGTAATTTCCTAATTTATTTCATAAGATTTAAAAGTTAAAACAAAACATTACTTTAAATCATATTAACTAATTCAGTATAACATTTAAAACCATAACTCATTGCAATAAAAACATGAACAATCACATTTTTAACACAGTGTAGTTTAATGGTGAAAACACTAGTCAAGCAAAATCTGCCTTTGCCTTGATTTGTTCTCTGTGTGTGGGGTGACGGTGTGTACATTTCAACTAAATCTGAATAATTTACACCATTTTATTAAAACATTTAATTTTAGATAGTTTTGAACAATAAAGGAAACAAACAAAAGCTTAGATTTGATTTGAAATGACAATCTATAAACCATGTCCTCATTCTTCCTCTTTTCTTAAATGGAATGGCAGGCCAAATCAAAGGATACCATGGGCCAACTTTGGGCCCTACACATGGGCCCTAGTTTGGGCATCCCTGATCTCATGTAGCCTATGTATAATTTAATAATGCATCTTATAAAGCAAATAACAAAATTAATTAAAAATAATAATCAAATGGCAGTTTGTGACTATATAGTTTACAAACAGTAGCCCAAAAATAAAATATGTGCATACCAATTAGCCTACTCAAAGTCTACAGTGTCCAGTAAATTAGAAACATTTGGAAAAATGGAATAAGGGCCTTCAAATATTATTGTGACAAATGGCTTTCAAGTCATGACATTTGAGAAATGAAGTCTTACCGTTTCTTGTTTACTGTCATGCGTGTTTGCCCACAGTAGAAGCGCCATAATGTGTGTAGAACTCTTCTAAAATGGACCCTCGAACATTATTCATTAAAAATAAACAAACGGTACTCGCAATATTAGGCTACCTCACAAAACACATTCAAGCCAGCCACGCTTTAGCATTAATTAAACAACATGAAATAAAACATAAATCATTTAAATAGACATTGACAAAAAAAAAGAGTGATGTACCTAACCGTTAACTTAATCGCTCTCATGTAAACAAAAGACAATGAGTCGCGCAGAGAATTGTGGGAATATATTGTGGAAATATTTTTTAATCAACTTATTTTAAACTACAAAAATAATACCGATATGTTTCCACTGTAATTTATAAAATAATCCATAAATATATTTTTACAATATATATATATATATATATATATATATATATATATATATATATATATATATATATATATATATATATATATATGTGTGTGTGTGTGTGTGTGTGTGTGTGTGTGTGTGTGTGTGTGTGTGTGTGTGTGTGTGTGTGTGTGTGTACAATAAGCTTATATTATATACACATTTGTAATCAGTACCCATAAATATATTTATACGCCCAATAAACGAACAATTAGTTAAATGACACTTTACATCAAACTAACTGCACACTGTGCACTCTATATACACGATTAAGCGCTTTATATCGTCTTCTTTACAGATGCTGTTTCCAGATTCCATGCAGATTTAATTGAATCTATCTGTTTATGTCAAAAGACACAGTTTGATGGCTGAATTGGTGACTGGAAGGTGACGGCGGTCACCATCGATCGCCACTGACTCTTATGAATGAAGAGCGCCTAATGAATGGAGCTCGTAGCTGACGTCATCTCCATTGTGACGTCGCGGTCCTTTTATGGAGCGCGCGTCTGAAGCCCATTCATAAAACGGAAAGAGAACTGCCCGTGGTAGTAAAGCTCTCAGGAGGGTAACACAACATCACACCGCGCAGTGCCAGCGCTTGGATTTGACGTTTTGTAGAAATTAAACCACCGTCTGACCGTGACCAGTCCCCGTCGGAGGAGGAAAATGGTCACAATGGACGAACTTTGCGAAATGGACTGCAGCGTTTTGAAGAGGCTGATGAAGGACGACGGAGCGAAATGTCTGCTTCTGGATTGCAGGTCGTTTCTGGCGTTCAGCGCCGGACATCTCCGCGGTGCCGTTAATATTCGCTGTAACACGATCGTTCGGAGGCGAGCGAAAGGCTCCGTGAGTTTGGACCAGATTTTGTCTGGGGACGATGAAGCGAGAAGCCGCTTGAAATCGGGGCTTTACTCCGCCGTGATCCTGTACGACGAGCGGAGCTCCGATACAAACACCATGAAAGACGACAGCACAATTACACTGGTACACAACGCGCTGTGTAGGGATACTTTTAGCACGGAAGTCTATCTGCTGAAAGGTACGTTTTAAAACCAATCATAATTGTTTTCTTAATTTGTATCCCGATGAAACCGTACTATCTGAAATAGTGAAATATATCCGCTCTGATATATAGATAGACAATGATGTAATATTCCCCGTTGGAAAATCCAGCTTAAGGTAGGCTGGTAGCTGTTTTTGGAAACATGTTAGCTGGTCTAAGCTGGTCCAAGCTGGTTATTCGCTGGTTGACCAGCTAACATGTTCCAGCTTGACCTCTGGTATTAAAAAGAAATGTCCGTAGGCTCTGCAAAACAACAATATTTTCATCTTTTACCCATTTTTAGAGACAAACCATCTGGTTAATACACCATATGTAAGAAGATTCTTGCATTTTAGAAATGTAGGCCTTTTGCAATGAATTGTAATATGGCAGATTGTATGTATACGTTTTGCATTTAAAATCCCCTAAATGCGTGGCTTGTTTGTAAAGAGTGGGACTGAATGCGAGAAATGAGTTATATATTATCACGGGTACAAAATGTTACAAGAGATCAGTCATTTACTGCTTTAACATTGTGTTCTTGTCATTTAGAAATTGTGTGGTGTCTTGTCAATGACTGTTTTTTTCAGTGTAATATCTAAACACAACCTCTGTGACCTCGCTTAAAATGAAATGAATCATCTAATTCCAGTAAAACTGAGATAGAAAATATATGAAATATTAATTAAGTATAATCAAACTTTTTATCTAGACAAATGAAACACATTATGATAAAAAAATAAATCGTAGAAATAAATAATCATTATAATTGTATAATACTATAAAACATATTCAATTACATAAATAATCCCATATTTCATTAATACAGAGTTTAAAACAAACAGACTAAAACAATTCTCACACACACTGGTTTTACATCTTTATTTATGCATTTTAAAAACGAATTTTTGACACCCTTTTCCACTTTTACAGGGGGCTATGACAGATTTTCCACACAATATCCAGACTACTGTTTGAAAACCAGAACACTCTCCGTGTCCAGTTCTCAGTCCAGTATAGAGAGCAGCTGCCTGTCCTGCGCGACTCCTCAACACGACCAGGTAAATACACAAGCAGCACTGGATACTCTGAGGTCAGCTAATGCCAGCATTGTGTAACATTAAACGTCCTGTCGACTGCTTGTCATCCGCTGCTCTTTCCGGCTGATAGCAGTGCTTTAGAGAGTGTCCGTCCGGCCTTTCCTCTGTGATAGAGGGTGTACGGTGTCAGACACTGCAGTGTTGATTCCCACATCGATCATTTCCTGCCTCTACAGCTTGTTAGCAGGCCGCCAATGACATAACAGCGGGCCAAATCAATACGCATCGCCCAGATAAATAAACTGGACGTTATTAGAGTGACCTTTTTATAGCTGATAGAGGTTTGACTGGCCTGATGTGTTAATCTAAGTGTTTTACAAATGCTGATTAATTGATCATTTATTGTGAATATATCATTTAAAATGTATATAAAATTAAACTTATAAACGCATTTATTGTAATGCATAATGCATATTTATGATAATGATTATAGTAATAATAATAACAATGATTTGTTATTATTGTTATTTCATTAACAACAACAAGTTATTATTATTATTGTTATTAATGTTTTTTATCTTTAAGAATATGGACTATATGGAAATATGGTGGCTGTTATATTAATTATTAATTTGTTATATTTTATTTACTGTTTATTATTTTTATTATTATTTAATCAACAATAATAATAAAATATTATTGATATTAATATTATTATTATTAATGTTATTTTTAAGAATATGGACTACGGAAATATGGTGGCTGTTATCATAATTCTTAATTTTTTATATTTTATTTTAATGTTTATTATTATTATTATTATTATTATTATTATTATTATTATTATTTTATCAACAACAACAACCATAATACATTATTATTATTATTATTATTATTATTATTATTATTATTAATATTATTATTATTTATTTTTAAGAATATGAATTTGAATATGAATATGGTTTATTATTATTATTATAATTATTTTATCAACAACAATAATAAATTATGATTATTGATATTTATTTGTAAGAATATAGACTATATGGAAATATGGCAGCTGTTGTTATATTAATAATATATTTGTAATATTTTAATGTTTATTATTATTTTATAAACAAAAATAATAAAAATTATTATTATTGTGTAATTATTTTTAAGAATATGGACTATATGTAAATATGGCAGCTGTTGTATTATTAAGTATTATTTTTTTATATTTATTTTAATGTTTATTATTATTTTGTTCTAATTTTGTTCGGTCACTTCTTCATTGCAGGGTGGTCCCGTGGAAATCCTCCCCTTTTTGTTCCTTGGCAGTGCTCTCCATGCGTCTAAAAAGGATATGCTGGATCGTATGGGCATTTCTGCCCTTTTGAATGTATCTTCAAACTGTCCCAATCATTTCGAAGGAGACTATCAGTACAAGTGTATCCCGGTGGAAGACAACCATAAAGAGGACATCAGCTCCTGGTTTATCGAAGCCATCGAATTCATAGGTAAGCTTGTTTCTTATGCTTTTACTTGAATGAAATGTCAAATCAATGCTTAGTTCAAAACATTTGCAATAAATAAATACAATAAAGGTTCATAAATGTTATGTTATATTATATTATATTATTATATTATATTATATTATATTATATTATATTATATTATATTATATTATATTATATTATATTATATTATATTGTAATCAATTGGTTTACCATTGATACTTAGGGTAGGGGTTAACTCTGCAAATGACATGCATTTCATGAGCAATAAAACATTGATCTGCACTGCAGAGCTTTGCAACAGTGACCCCCCTTTAATTTAGTCTTGCATTCATTTCAACGGCTCATTCTGGTCATCTTGGAAGCTTTTGTTTGACGTTAGAATCCATGAAACACAATGGTGGAAAAAATCCATGCGTCATATGTGCAAAAAACTTCGGGCTGAATGTTGCGGTATGGGTGGGTCCTCCTCATGAAAGGGTTTCCGTGACTGAAGAAGGGCGGGGGTGTGTGGGGATCCTGTATATCCAATTTCAGCTCAGCATCCTCTGCACTAAAGCAAGGCCCCCAAGTAGGCTTGCCGCATTTGATCGCACCATCCTAGGTGTGTGTGTGTGTGTGTATGCGTCAGAGTGCAGAGCTTAGGGACCGGAGTCTGACTCATCCTCCATTCAGGGGTGCCTTGATACTGGAGTTGCCTCACATCTGGGTGTGTAAGGCATATATGGAGGCAGTCAAATGATCTATTTTGCTAAATGTGGTTGGTCGCTTTTTTCGTCCCATGCATATGCCATTTTTTGGTTAATAAGCAGGTTGTTAGAAATAGGAGATGATGTCTGTGTGAAAATCCAGTCCAGACCATTTCACTTGGGTGTTTTCTGTCCAACTGTGACTGTCGGTTGTGGGTGAATGTGTTATTCATGTATTTCTAGAAATGCATTGTTCTTATTTTGGGGCATTTGGAGTGGTTGTGGTGATGACACACAATGAGCTGAGGGTGTAGAAAACTAGCAAAGGATATTTGTATTTATTTTTATATTTTAATGTCTTTTTAATTGTGTGTTATATTTAAAAATATGTAGCTTTTATATTTAACTTGTATTGATTTATTTTAATATATATTGGTCGGGTGACTTGTTCTTGTTTTTAATAGACATTATCTTGTCCGATTGGATTGATTTCTTTGTAACATTAGAGACAGGAATGAATCAGACCATCAAACATCAGCTGAATATCCAAACACTTGCAATGTATTTTAGTTGAAATCTCCTGTCATGTTTCTTGCACTGTTCGTCAGAGGCACAGCTTTGATATAAATGTCAAGCGCAACTATCCAATAATTATGAACTGAATGTGATGGGATATACAATAAGGTTATTTTGGACATTGAGGTAAATTTAGGAGCTGCATGCAAAATCAAACACACGCTATGTCATGACAGATATTCTCCTCGTCAGGAAAAAATGAGTAATTTGAACCTGTCCTTTTATGATGGAGCCTTGCACATGACATGTGGAAAACATAGAACATAATTTAGGAAGGAATTCTCTGGCATTAATTATTACCATGCTTAATTAATATGGCTACAATAAGGGAACAATTTATTATAGAATGAATACCATTTGCATGTTTTGAAATGCATTTGCAAAATGTACTGACATATCAGTAGGGATGCAATATATGTTTTTTCCCCCATAGATTTCATATGCAAAGCTCTTTAATTAAGCTTTGATTAATAATTTTACATAATTCACAAAGACTGTTTACTAATTGACAAATTGTTTGCTGAATGAATTTCCCAGAGTGGTTATTAAATGACACTCAACGCACTTTTAAATCATTGATGTCTGTCACAAAATGTAGAATACTTCATGCAGTGACTTTATATGACCGTGTGTACCTAAAGATTAATATGAAAGGATTTGAATAAATAAACAAATAATGTTAATAAATATTTAAGAATGGGAGCTAAAACTTGTATAACAGCAAATGATGGCTGAAAATGGTCAACCACATTAAATATATTGGCACCGTGACTTGCTGATCATATCAGCAAATGCTTCCTTTTTACTTTCACTGATGTCTGTCTCAAATAAAAAAATATATTTTTAATAAAAAAAAATGTTTATTCTTCTTCTTATAATTATTATTATTGTTAATAAAATAATAAATTTTTCTATTTAATGGCATTTTATTATTAGAAGTTTATAATATTAATATTATTACTTTCATAGTTATAATTCATAATAGTTTATAATTATTATTGTATTATTAATAAAATAATCATACTTTAGTTATAAAATACTAAAACTTATTTTAATATAATTTAAATCAAATCAGTTATAATTAATACTTGTTTATAATTGTTTTATTATTATTATTACTTATCCACTGCGCAAAGCATATGTTGGATCAGTTGCCGGTTCATTCCGCTGTGGCGACATCAGATTAATAAAGGGGCTAAGCCAAAAAGAAAATTAATGAATGAATATTATTCTTAAATAATTTTATAATTAATAGCATTTTATTACTAAAAATTTATATTAATATTAAATTCTTATCAGTTATAAATAATAATGATCAATTTTATTGTTAATAATAATAATAATTCTGTAGTTTTATAAATAGTATTTAATAATCTTAATTTTCATTCCTTCATTTTCCCCCAGCCTGGTCCCTTTATGCCTCGGGTTGCCACAGCAGAATAAATTATCAACTTATCCAGCATATGTTTTACACAGCTGATACCCTTCCAGCTGCAACCCAGTACTGGGAAACACCCATGCACATTCATTCACACACATACACTATAGCCAATTTAGATTATTCAATTCGCTTGTACCGCATGTCTTTGTACTGTGGGGGAAACCGGAGAATCCGAAGGAAACCCACATAAACACGGGGAAAACATACAAACTTCACACAGAAATGCCAACTGACCCAGCCAGGACTCAACCAGTGACCTTCCTGCTGTGAGGCGACAGTGCTAACTACTGAGCTACTGAAATTCATACATTAATTATAAAGAAAAATAATAATATCCACATAAAAAGTGTTTACCGTGACTTCTTTATGGATCTGCATCAGAATGCTGCGTGCATCAGCTGGTCTGTGTATGCAGTATGACTCATTTCTGATCTTTATCTGTGCTTTAACCAAACTCTCTTCTCTTCTCTCAGACTCCGTCAAGGATTCCAACGGTCGCGTTCTGGTCCACTGTCAGGCTGGCATCTCTCGCTCTGCCACCATCTGCCTGGCGTACCTGATGAAAAAGAAGCGGGTGCGTCTGGAGGAGGCCTTCGAGTTTGTCAAGCAGCGGCGCAGCATCATCTCCCCAAACTTCAGCTTTATGGGTCAACTCCTGCAGTTCGAGTCTCAGGTGCTCGCAACGTCCTGCTCCGTTGAGGCCGCCAGTCCTTCCGCCAGCCTTGGCCCAAAGTCTTCCTCTACCCCGACATCACCCTTCATCTTCAGCTTCCCAATGTCAGTGGTGACCCACAACCAGCCCGGCAGCCTCACATACTTACAGAGTCCCATCACAACCTCGCCGAGCTGCTGATACACAATGAAACTCTAAATAATTTAAAAACTGCACATGCACACTAGTAAGGGCGCGTTTCTTTTGACGTACTTCACTCGGCACAATCACGCAGAAGATCCATCTTAGAGGAAAACTTTTTTTTTTTTTGGAAATAGGCACATTTTACAAGTCCCAAAGAGTTTCACAGTTGAGTTTTACTATTCGGCCAATCTCTGAGTCTGGAAAGAACACTTTTAACTTAGCTTAACATAAATCATAGAATCAGATTGGACCATTAGCATCTCGCTCAATTTCAAAAAAGTGAAAGTTGCTATTTTCTACTTGGATTAATCTGAAGAGTCAAGCAGTAAATAGGAAAATCACCTCAACCAAAGTTTTTTTTTTAATCAAATTTAGATGCCAAAGGTCTAATCTGATTCAATTATTTATGCTAAGCTAAGCTAAAAGCACTAAATGGATTCAAAAATCGTAAAACTCAACTGTTCAACTCTAGGTGACTTCTAAAATGAGCCTTTTCCAAAATAAAGTAGAGTGTTCCTTTAATATCAGAAGAACAAGTCATAATATCCTGTGTGGATGGCACATCTTTTCATTTCCACTTCCAAAAACATTGGCGGCAGAGGTGGGATTCAAAGATCGGAGGTCTGTCTGTCGACCTCCCTTTTTTTTTTTTATCACTTCATTTGTGGACGATTTTCTTGAACTCCTTTAATGGAGACAGACTTTTGACAGAAAGTGTCTTTTTGTCGAGTTTTGCATTGTCAGTGCCTTGTTCAGAGAAGGTACACAGACGCTTTTGCTCAAATCGGCTCCATCGCCTTTCAGTCTGCAATACCAGTCCACTCTTGTCAGATCAGAGCAATAACCTGATTCTCCTTCCTCCCAGTCGCCACCAAAGCACTGTATGATTTTTATTTGTTATATTGTGTGATCATGATTTAAAACGTCTGATATTTCAGATCAAAATTTCTTTTGCCAACTTGTACTGAGGAGATTTTGAATTATTTCTGCTGTATGCCTTATTGACAATGACTTCTACATGGAATGTTCTCATTAATAAGTCTATTTAAAAGGAAGGGTGTAAACACTGAAGCTTTTTACACTGGAAGCTGGGAATGGGATGTTTTTTGTAATATTTCCGCCTTTGAGAAGCTCTGAGAGGGAAAGAGAAAACATAGCAGATGGTATAATGTGGTACTTCTATTTATAAGATTGTGTGGGCACCTTTTATAGCACTTTCTTTTGGCAAATTCCTTGGTTTGTTTGTCTGTCAATCACTGATGAGATGAATGCAATACTTTTTACTGTACTTGTGAGATGTTATTGTCTCATGGCAATATCATTCAAGAGGGTTACGCTTTTTTAAAAAAAAACTTTGCCCTGTTCTGTTGTATTATATGTACATTTTTATTTATCTCACGATTGTCATTGTTAAATATAAACTGTGTTCTTAAAGGAAAGCGTGGTGTGATTTAATTGTGTGGAAGATAACGAAAAATCTGCAGATGATGAATCACGTTTTCCTGTACAGCAGTAGGCCTGTAAGTTATAGTGCAATCATTTTGTAAAATGAATAGAGCATGAGCCATCTCATTATTTCTTACATGGACTAAGAAGGGATATAAAAGAACAGCGCGCTATTATGCAGGAATTAGTGTTAAATCTGATAAATGAGGCGAGCCTTCTGAATAATGAATAGTTTTTTTTAAAGAGCCACAGCGCCCTCTAGTGTGGGTTTGATAGCTGATTTCACCTTTCCTCATTGTCTGACTCGCAGAAACTAGACTTCCCACTCGTTTCAGGTAAACTTTGTTGGAAAACGCTTAAACAATAGCGACTTGTTCAAACCATAATGAATATGATTAACCACCAGAGGTACACTGTAGGAAAAATTAGCAGCTGAAATGATTCATTCAAAGAATCAGACGACACGGTAAGACGGAAAAAAATGGAAATACTTTTTACATATTTAAAGCGCATTGAGAATTTAACTAATACAATTTAATAATGCATCGTAGAAACATCAAATAATTTTCAGCGTATCATATACACATTTCAAAAATACGTCATAGCTTGTCATAAAATACATGACGGTTTTGGTTTCTATTGTTTGACCAGACGTGTATTCCATGACTTTCAGTAACATTTTCACTGAATTATCGACGAATTGTTCTTTTAAAAAAACAATAATTACATTGTAATTCAGTCAGGCGTTTTATAAACCCTCCAAGTTTTCATTCAATACTAAAAACAATAATTCACTCACCTATTGTACAAGGAAAATTAAGACCTGTTAAAAAGATTTAAGACCTACCACACAATGTTTCAGTAATCCAGGACATTTTTAACATTTAGCTTTTGAGATTTATGACATTTTAAGACTTTACCCGCAGACTCTGCACTATAAAAAATAATAATAATAAAAATCGGTTATTTACCTTTTTTTTCTGGCAGCTGGGGTGTCGAAAAAACCAGTAAAATAACAGCCGTAAAAATGACAAAAATTAACCGTAAAATAACAAACATTAAATTACAGAAATTTGTCATAAAATAAAAGACATCAAATTACAGAAACTTACCGTAAAAAACAAACCTAAATTACAGAAATTTCTGTAAATTAATTTTACGACAAATTTATGTAATTCAACGCATGTTACTTAACGACAACTTTCTGTAATTTAATGTCTGTTATTTTACGGCAAATTTCTGTTATTTAACGTGCGCTATTTTACAACAAATTTCTGTAATTTAAAGTGTTATTTTATGACAAATTTCTGTAATTTAATGTCTGTTATTTTACCGCAAATGTCTGTAATTTAATGTCTGTTATTTTACCGCAAATGTCTGTAATTTAATGTCTGCTATTTTACGGCAATTTTCTGTAATTTATCGTCCGTTATTTTAAGACAAATATGTCTAATTTAACGTCTGTTATTTTAAGTTTTTTTTTCCGGCACCCCAGCTGCTGGAAAAAAAATCCTTAAAATAACAGAATTTTTTTTTACAGTGTTTTATCATAAATCATGATTTATAAATAGTTATACATATAGAAAAATCCAATCTGTAAGTAACAGAACACACGCAAAGAAACCAGCAGACTCATTTATGACGTACTTTATTAAGACCATTTTACATGATTGTGGAGTGTTTGATTAGTCCGCTGATGGCTTTGGGTTGACAAGCCGCTTCTGTTTAGAGTTCACAAGAACATAGAAATAAAGTAAAAACGCAGCTCGCACAATTGAGAAACACTCGAGTCCGTCCACCTCCCTCATACGCATCTGTGCTGGAGAAAGGTCTTCTCTCTGGAGTAAGGCAGATAAATGACCTCCAGGACACACCACAAACTACACCTGAGCGAAGCTGACCAGAGGTAGAGCCACGTCTTTCCTTCACTTCTTCCTTCTGAAAGATGAGCTGCTGAGTTCAGTAGTGTGTAACAGGAAAAATAACATTACAGAGACCCTCGCGGGAAAAAAGAGGCCTTTCTCATGACGGCAGAAAAACCAGACTGGAATGAACAAGATTTCGGAATTACGTATTGAAAGCAAAATCTGAAAATATAGAAGGAAAACTTCAGCTTCCTTTACAGTACTAAATAAAACCCACTCTGCATCAGTAAACAACATTAAAAGCTATACAAAGGCATTGTCCGTTACACAACCTGTACAATTGTATTTTTTTTTTTAAACCTACGTCTTTTTAAAATTATTCTGAATAACTTAAGTCCTGCTTAAAAGTGCAAATTCTGTTTTAAAAAGATGCATTTTGGGATCGGGCTGTGATTGGGCGATGGAATGGGACATTCTGAGCAGTATTCCTGTGCAAAGATATGTTAAAAATAAAAAAATAAAAAAATTAGAGCACACAATTTTTGCTATTTTGTGGTCAAAGGCTTTTTACGATATTTCCGGTCTCTGCATCAACATTCGTCTTGCTTTAAAACCCATCTAAGGCTTTTTAGTTGTTGATAATGCATAAAGAAAAAAAACTAAAAAATTATATATATTTCAGGAAACTTGTGTGTGTTTTATATCACAATTGTGAATTAAAGTGACAAGAATGAAAGAGAATTAATCACAGTAACAGTAAAACCATTTGGAAGAAACAACTATAAGGAACTCTGGCTATTTAAGGGATAGTTCACCCAATTACAATTCTGTCATCCTCCACTTGTTCCAAACCTGTTGAACACATATATTGAATTATTGTGGGGAAAAAACTGACTTCCATTGACTATCATAGTAGTTTTTGTCTCTAATATCAATGGCTGTTTATTCTCGAATATTCTTCACATTATTTTCTTTTGTAAAAAAAATAATAAGAATATCTTGTTTTGTGGAGATTTGGAACCATTTGAGTGTGAATCAATATAATGTAAAATGTCATTTTTAGGTGAACTATCCCTTTAAGACGGCTTAAATTCAAATAAATGATGTCTGTTACTGCAATATGTAGCAGAAAACCTAAGAATACATCAGATTTTATAAATCCACATTCATATTGGATTAGAGGGTGTTATTATTTTAGATGTGCAGTGCTTGAAGTCAGAGTTTTTCCCCTCAGTGTTCTGTGTTTGTTTTTAATCAACAATGAAACTCAATTTAATACCACATTGTGTGGCTTTTGATGTTAATTTTTAGTCATATGCAACAAGAGAAGTGATGAAAGTCTTCACTATCATCTTTTTTACACACAAGCTTAAAGAGCTCTGAATACCACATAAAATCCACAAAATAAAATATCCATTACATGCTAAACATGCTTTAAATGGTACATTAGCATGTTTAGCGGTCAAAATCGTACACTTGATCTTGTGTCCATCTCCACCTGTAATCAGGGCTGAAGTGGAGAGATCAAGGTTTGTAAGAAATGTTATTTGTGTACAGACATTTTCCTATTCTTTTCTCCTCTTGAAAGTGTTTTATTTTCAGTTCAAGAGATGCCCTTAAACTAAATATTACATTCTAAAGCCACACAATGTTCCACTGAATCAGTTTTTGAATCATTTTTGAATCATACTAAATCATTGAATTAGTTTTAAGTTGAGCTGCAGTAAAAAAAAATTTTTTTTGCAGTTTTCACTGCACACCGAAAATAATGCAAAATAAAATTGTTTTTAAAGTGAAACAATCTTATATGTAGTTAAAACACATGATACAGTAAAGGACATCATCTTTATAATATTAAACCTTAAGTCTTAACACACAGGGTTCCTTTTAAAGGCACAGTTCACCCAAAAACAAAAGAAAATTCTGTCATCATTTTCTCACGTTCCAAACCTGTTTAGGTTTCTTCTGGTGAACCTGAAAGAAGATATTTTGAAGAATGTTGACATTGACTTCCATAGTATTATTTTCCTACAACGGAAATCAATTGACTTTTAAAGATTCTTCAAAATATCTTTTGCGTTCAACAGAAAAATTAAATGATGAGTACAATTTTTCATTTTTGGGTAACCAATCACCTTTTAATGCCTGAAACGGTGTTAAATGTAGTAGAATGTAAGGGAAGAGGTCACTTGTTGTCTTTCACAACGTTTCATTTT